AAAGGAGAAGTTAGAATACCACAATCAATAATTCCAGATAAATGAAAAAGTTTGGTCGCGCCTTTACAATAATAAAGAAAAAAAATGAGAAGAAGCCATTAAAGGCATACTCGGATCACAACGTTATAAAGTAAGTATAGTGGGTAATACGATTATACGTCATACGGACCAATTAAGGAAAAGAACCGAAGTAGAAGAGAAAACCGAAGAGATATTAAACATAGAGGATGTAATAAAAAATAACGATGAAATGAGTATAAAGGAGAGGGAGGAAGAAGATACAATTCAAGATCTATATCCCAAAAGGATACGATCAAAACCAGATAGACTGGGGATAAATGATATGTATTAAATTGTTGTTTTTGTTAAATGTTTATTTTTTATTATTATATATGAATAAAATTATGATTTTGGATACTAAATAAAAAAAATGAAAGAATTCTATGACTACTAAAAATACATTACAAATAGAATGCGCAAAAAAAATAACAATATGGCAGAATGTTTATTAATTAATTATTAAAAAATATACATAAAAATGGATTTCGATTTTTTTATAAAAATAAATGAATTTAAATATTTTTTTTAAAATTTTATAACATTTTAATAGATGCCATTTTATATCGGTTCGGATCGAAAAATTTTATAATATTGGCCGATAACCGATATTTTAAAATGGGCAAAATATCGGTACATCCCTACTTGAGACTCATAAAAAAATTTGTATTGGTTATGGGTCAATGATAGGTTTGATGGTGTTTAATAGAAAAAATTAATTATTACAGATCCTTTATTGGTGGGATATAATTGAAATAGACTTATACTAAAATAAATGAAAAAATAATTTAGGAAATAAGGTTACCTCTTTTATTGAAAGGATAAGATTGTTAGGTAAAAGAGAATTTGTATTTTTTATTGTTGTTCACCTATATAGTTAAAATTTATAAAAATCCAAATAGTCAGATAAAAAGAAAAATCCATGCTCATGACTTATAAATTCTTGGACACTGATGACCAGTATAATATTTACCCCTTTTAGACCCCCTGCTTTATAAATATACAGTAATATGTTTTTAAAATTGGTCATTTAAATAAAAAAGACATTTAATAGCTATTCTATAACATTATTATAAGATAAATCTGATATGCGTGCTTGCACTAAACGATTTAGGAAAAAATTAAACATATCTTGCTAACATTTTCCCAAATATTAATCCATTAGTGGAGCAACATAACTGTCTTTCTATGAATTTAATATGCCAATTTCGTCAATCTTTAAATTTTTTAGCCGAAAGACTTTCAGATGGTAAATCCACCTATTGTTGTCATAAGGGTAAAGTCATACTTACTCAATATTCTGATTATTTAAAAAATCTTTTATCAAACCCTTTAAATCCCTTGCACAAAAATTTTATGCGTCATATTCGTTCTTACAATATTCTATTGCCTTTGCATTTCTGGAAGCACAGATTTCAGAGTTATCAGGTAATGGGCCTTACTGTTTTAAATTTCATGGGCAAATTTATCGCACATCTTATTTATATCCCCATACTGATATTTTACATGAATTTGCACAGTATGTACTAGATAATCTCAGGCCATTGCAGGACGTCTTCAGCACCCTGCCAATTCTGATTGTGATATAAATATCATGAGACATTTAGATGTGTTGATGTTGATCCATATGCTTTAACTTTCAAAACCTTAGGCGAAGTTGAGAAAGCTGAGTTATTTCTTGCAAAACATTCAAATGTATTACTGTTAAAGATTAATATGATATTTCGCGGAGATCATTCTAGCGACCTTCGGCGGTATAATTTACCTTTGATAACTTAGTTATAATATCTACAAATGATGGAGAACGTCCCTTTAAACGAGATATAAAATTTTTAGTAATCCTTAACGTGTAAAGTCTTAATTTAGACTCAATAGTATATCCTATATTATTTCCTCATGGAGATCCTAGTTGGGAGCCTAATATGATTTTTTTGACGTTCAAAAATATCTGCTACAATTTCAAATTTCCCGTATGGCAGTTAAACAAAATCTTCTTAACCCCCTTCTTAATGCTGGGAGATTAACTCAACAATATATTGTAAAGACGGGACATCATGCCTTTCTCCCTTATTCGATAAAAGATGAATCAGAAATTAAGCATATCTTATGAAGTGTGGTCAAAAATTTACCTCTTTTTCGAACTTTTAATTATTTATTTAGTACCGTCAACCCCTTCGTTCTTGACGGGTTATCAGCTAGTTTTTATCATAATATGCAATAAAATGTTGAATTTTTTATGTGTTTTAAAATATCTTGTTTTTTTAAAAAAAAATCGAATTATCTGTATTAAGAATAGGAAATTATTTGATTCGAGACTTATAAATCGAATGATTTCATTGAATTGTTTCTAGAAGCCTATGTTGGATAAAGAGAATCGTTTAATCAGTGGGAAGTACTGTTGTTAAACGGCTCGTTTTGAGCATTTTTTAAAACGGCTAACTCAATATTTCACCCAGAATAATATTACGCAAGCCTGAAGATTTTGTCTGTAGAAGGAATCAAGGTTTAAATATCTATTAGCGAAATCTCGAGGCTTAGGTAATATTTTTCTGGCTAAAATATTGAGTAAGCCGTTTTTAAAAATCGGCTCAAAATAGCTGTTTAACATCACTAGTGGGAAGACAAGAAAAAGGGAGCGACAAGGTTTTCATGGATATTAAGTCAATGCCATCCTTTTTCGGGGGAAGGGCTAATTTTTAATTGAATAGATTGAGAGTTTAATAAAATTTCCCAGAATGTTAATTCTTTAAAAAAATGATAATGCGCAAAAGAGGTAACATTTTAGCAAGATATCAGCATTTAAGGATTGGGACCTAATCCAAGTTGAAGATGTTTATAAATTTTGGCTGATATTTTTCAGATGCTTGATAAAAGTGAGCCCAATAGAAATAAGTTATTAAGTTAAACAATTTTATAGTGAGGTAAATCTATGGTGGTGTTATTCAGGAAGAAGATTTATGTCTTATTGAGAATAGGCGTAAATGTTTATAATTTGTCTCAACATTATTTAAAACTTCGATAATTGTTGTTCTATTCAGCTATCACGTCATTGCCGCGAGCTAGCATTCAACTAAAGCATTGGACCCAGCCTTTTTGCTTAGATTTACATAACCTTGTCAAGGATATAAAATATAAATCATTTAGTATCTTCATGATAGCATTATTTGTGGTTTTCTACCTAGAATTATTAAATAGCGCTTCATTATTTTCCGTTCTGTAATGTCAATTTTTTTAAAAATTGCAAATGACTTTTTTCCCTCTATACTATCATATCTATTAAACGGATTGAATAAATATATTTTTCCCTCTATACTATCATATCTATTAAACGCAGAATAAATATACTAATAAAGTTTTAAAGATAAATGAAATCCCAAATTAGTATACTTTCTATCAATTTTTAAGAGTGAAGTTGGTTAAAATTTGTTTATTACCTAGTAAAATTTTTAGTCAATAAACTGATAAAACTAATAGGCAATAAATATTACCAAAAATTTGCTATGAACACTTAATTACATTTTTTTATAGCAATTTTTTTTTGTTATACCCCTATATACATGAAATTATCAACGTTTTATTTATAATGAAAATTCAATGTATAAAAATTTAAAATACACTAACTATCTCAACTAACTATATCGATTATGTGTTACCCTTCGTTATATAAAGACAAATATCTTTATAGAATTTAATCATTCAAAAAGAATTATAATATAAATTATTAAATAAAAATTTTGCAATTTTAAATTTTTTGGAAGATATCTTCCCTCCTATTATGATTTTATATAGTCCACGAATCAGAAAGCAGTTACCTTTTGGACCTTATAAATATTTATCCTTTAGGGTTTTTTCTACCTTTGCGGGTGGTGCCGATCCACATATTTTCACCTATCCGATATTGGTTTAAAACCGATCTGATATTTATATTGATTTTTCACCACCCCCCTTTGAACCAAATGTAATTAAGAAATCAATATTTTTTATGCAAAAAATCGAATTATGCAATTAATTTATTTTTTTTATTTCTACAATAATTTAAAAAAGTACAGATATTGGCAGTATTAAATAAATTTTTCATTATTCCTCCCCGAATTAGAATTCAGCATATAATGCATTTTGCAAAATTATCCTTGTCTTTTGTAAAATATTTCCATAATTAAGATAATATATTTAAAAAAAATTCTTTTATTTAAAGTATAAATAATAAAATTGTTATTATTTAAAAAGATTTAAAAATAAAAAAACTTTTAAAATACTATAAATCCATTTTAAAAAATAAATAAAATTTAAGGGGTGTTGTGCATTTGCATTGTTAAAAAAAATTATTTAGAAAATATTATTAATGTAAAATAAATATACAAAAAAAGAAAAGTAAAAAAATCGGATCGGGTTTTACAGGTAACGTCCCGATCCGATATTTTATATCGGCATAGCCCTAGTTTTAATAAATAGCAAGGAAACAAACCTTAACATAGATTTCCCCCTAAAAATTATTTTATTTATTTTTTGGTAACTTAAGGTTTAAAATAAATTATTCGTCGAGTGTTTCCTTTTTTTTAGGTCTACGTCCTATTATTGATGAGTAAAACTTCACGAAAATAGGTCTTCTAGTCCCAGATACCCCATTAATAACGAGCGTCGTCGATCCGTCCCTTTCCAAAAAATCTCGCTGGACATATGATGTAGAGACACTTATTGGTAGTCCTGTATGACTCGTTACTTTCAATTTTAAAATGGGTAAGCCTCGTGGAACTGAAGATATATTCGTAACCCCTCCCCCCAAATAAAAATATTATTGCTATTGCTACACCATAGGTTTACATTATATTCATGTCATTATTGTTTCCTTCTTAACCTTTTTCTTCAAACCCTTAATTACCTAAATCTTTAAATACCTTTTTGTCTTCCTTCTCTCTCCTCCCATACAAGAAGCATATATAAACCTGCTTAGCCTCTACAGCGGCAGTATATTGTGGACTGAAACTGAGCTCCGTGATAGAAACATCATCTAGTAAAATGTTAAAATCCCTAGCCCTGTCCTCTAAGGATTTGAGAATCAATAAGCTGACCTGTTGTCTTTGGGTTATAAGTTGAGAGGCATTAAATTTTGCCACCACGCTTTTGAGTGTCTAGTGTTAAATTATATGTGATTAAACCTAATTAATAATCCTTTAAAAAAAATGTAATTAGTGCCTTTAAATATTATGTACTAATATTAAAAATATAAATTTGTAAACTCAATAGTTAGCAGTCTTAATACAATTGGGTAAACCAAAAAATAAAAGTTTTGTTTTGAAATATTTTTTAAATAATTTTTATTTTTTAAATTTGTTATAATTATTAGATAAATTGGCTGTGGCTTTGCAGTTAATCCTAAAAGAGATCGAGCATGCTTTCCAGAAAATTGGTTAGGGCATAGTGCATCCTAAATGTTTTTATAATAATTAAAAAACAATTCTAAATATTTCTTTTCAGTAAAATAATCCCTCTTTTTTATACTTAAATTTATTCATTCTGATGAATTGCTGATTGTAAAATATTATTTGAAATTAGAGTCAACTTTTTATTGCCTTGCAAGGTTATACTTAACTAAGAGAGGTGTTGATTAAGTAATTTTGGCAGAGGTATTGGTTAATGAATATATGTGGGATATATTTTCAGGATTTGAAGATGTGAATTTGTAAAAGATCGTGTTGGTAAATAAAGTTCGTTTTTTTGAAAAAAAAATGATGAATGGCGTTCCCTTTATGACTTTGAACTAAAAGCGTTCCTATTTTTGATGAATGCATTCGTTTTTTATGTTAATTCATTTGAAAATAAAAAAATATTAATTAATATAAGGAAAAAGGGTTATTTTTTAATCAGCTGTTTCATTTATCACATCTGAGTTTTTTTTAGCTAGCCACTATTTCTGTCCTATATTTCATTAATTTCATGAAAAATTCTTGCTTTTAAGGAATTTTTGTCCAGGAATCCTGATTCCTATATCTCTCATATCAATCAAAGTGGATATTTCCTCACCCTAGACTCAAGTTAGACTGAACATGTGTAATCCTATCTATATAATTCTAGGCCATTTGATAAAAAACTGAATCTGCTCAGCCACAAAAATTATTTTTTCAAAACCTCATTATATTAATGTTTTATTTTGCTTTTGATATTGACGTTAAAGACCTGCAGAAGTCAAATTTATAGGCCCAGCTATTTTATTTAATTATCTTTTTGACCCAGCTCATTTCAAGTTTTTATTTCCTGCCTGGCCCTGATATTTTAAATTTCAATCAACCAATTGAAATAATTTTATTTTTTAAAAAAATTCAGCCTGGCCCATTTTGAAAGAAAGATAAAAGAACAAATATAAATTTTTTTTTAATAAAACAATTAAAGAGGTCCAATGTATGCTAATAAAAATATTACATTTTTTCCACAAAAAAATTTATTTTAAATAAAGATTATTTTTATAAAATTCCATTTACTTAAATTTAAATCAAATTTTTTAAATGAAAAATAAAATATTAACCTCATTGACTATGGATGGGAGAACCCTTTCTTCATACTCCATGCCTAAAAATCTGTACATTGTTGGAAGTTTCATTTGGTCAGGTCTGGTTAATACTCTCAATGTTATATTGACCATTTGTAAATCTTAAATGCATTCAATAAATGAAATTTAATAGTATTCCAAAACAAATTCATTAAACCTTTACTACCAGTAGGAGAAGATATCTTTCTAGGCTTAGCTCTAATATCATAAATGATTGGATATTGTAACCATGGTATTCTGGTAATAATTTATGCATTTTTAAAAATACATTTATAAAAAGAACCATATAATTTATTAGATTATTTATAAATCTTAATCTGTTACCACCTAAAATGGATGCCTTCACTATAAATTTCTTTTTGAACACCATTAATTCTGCTAAATATAATAGCTCTATGACCTGCTTCAACTAAAAAATATCAAAATAGTTTTAAATTTCAAATAACATATAATTTTTAAATTTAATTATAATCATTTGCATAAAATTTTTCCATACCAAATCATGTGTAGATATAAATCATTATAATAAAATAATATAGATGATTTACCTTGATACATGGATTTATATACACCGTAACCTAAAACTCCGGCACCTATTAATAACTTTGATGCAGGACCTGTTCCTTTTGGGTTAGCAACCAATCGATTGAGTATCTCTACGATTTTATTCTGCATTTTTATCTATAAAAATAGGATATAGTTTTTTTTTTTAAATCACGTTTTGTGAAGGGACAAATGATTGCTCGATAAAAGTGTATGATATAGTGAATATTTTAGTGTTACAAAAATGATTTTCATACCTTGAATTTTTCCATTATATCTTTGAATTCAAACCTTTGCTTTAAATTTAATTACATATAATCTAAAATCTTTTTCGATATAAAACTACTTAGTTTCAAGATAGCATACTCAAATGGAGCGTCAGATTGGTTTTAAACATAATCTGCTATAGGGACGGACTGCCCATAAGACCAAGTGAGCATTTTGCCCACGAGGCTGCAAAAAATGTCATTTATTGAGTCCTATCAGTAAAAAAATGAAAAAAAGAGGCCGATCAGGAAAAAAATAAATATATTTTTATTATATAAGTTATAACTTTTCTCTCATTACTCACATATTTTATATATTAAAAGCTATCATATTTTCTTTGAATATATTTCTAGAGGATTATCGTTTCCATGTTATTATATGGGTTTTTTTATTTTCTAAAAAAAAGAGGGTCGTTAAAATGAAGTTAAGTTTTATATAATTTACATTTTTATACATTATTTTATAATTTTTTAATAGAAATAGTTCAATAGGTTTAACATTAATTTAAAAAATGGAGAGATTCACAATAATATTCATATAATAAAACATTTATTTGAGATAATAAAGTGTTTAAGTAAAAACTATTTTTAAAAAATCTAAATCATGGGAGTTCCTTGGAAATGTTAAAATACTTAGCATTTAAACAATGCTAATTATAAAACAAACATAGAATAGGAAACTTAAAAATTCCAATTAATCATAATTCAAGGGAAGAAGTTCTCTAATAAATTTATGTCAAAACAACCGTTAATAAGTAATTAATGCTATTCTAAGTAAAATTAATTTAATATTAAAAAAGGCAAATAGGGAGCACACAATTATGTTGCAAATATATACTACACATCATTAGCTACTCTCGATCTCTATAAATCAAAAACCAAACATATCGATAGCTAAATCGTTGATTGAGAATCAATAAAATTTAAAGCGTTAAATCTGCTTTGATTTTTTTAAAATAATAGCGGGTTTCATTATATATTTACTAAAAATTAAGAAGATTTATCAGCTTAGAAAATAATCGAAGATTCCAAATCTTCTATATCTTGTATAACCTTCACCTCATTAGAGCCATAAAAATGTCTAGAAATTTAAATAAAAATATTTCTGATTTAAAGCTGCTAGATAAAATCTGGATACAAAATGAAATGTTAAAAACTAGAATAAGTTTAACAAGGATGATGTATGAATATGAATGCAAAGATGAAGGCCCAGGAGCGTCACTGACCTTTACAATCTCAGTCGGTTCAATTTAAAAAAAATTTATAGGAGGCGAAGACCCCTATACACATAATATTGCGGGTCTTCGGCCGGGTTTTATATTATTATATTATACTTATTAATTGAAATTTGCAAAATCTCAACAATTATTCTGAATTTAGTCTTTTGTCATTTATTATGCATACAAATAATAAAAATAAAACAATACAAGACATTTCTAAATATAATATTTTTTAATACAATATATCCATTTATTACTATTTAAATATTTTCGATTGCGAATATGAAAGAAATTTTGCTTAAAGAATTGATAAAAAAGGTTAACTTCAATTGATAATGATTTTTAAAAACCACACAGGGCAATATATTTCTTAGCAACCTGCAATGACAAAAAATCATTAAACTAATATAACATAGTGTTACCATTTTAGACAATGTTCTATAGAATTGACTAATAAAGAAAAATTTGTGGGCCTAACCAAGTCAATAATTCTTATAGAGGATAATATAAACGACTAACCCAAAGGACTATATGGGTTAATGATAGATACTACCAAATCAAAGTATAGCAATTTTCTAAATACCAACCTAATTTGCTAAATATCGACAAAAATTTATTAAAATGTAATAAAACCCTTATTATTTAACACATATTATAACGAAATGAAATGGTCGAGTCCGGCCTCCTAAATATCACCCCCCCCTTAAGGACGGAACGGAACGACCAAGTTGGATTAGAATAAAAATGATCTTTGCTGGGATTCGAACCCAAAGCCATCGGATTGGTAAGCGCCGCCTTGCCGACTAGGCCATAGACGCTTTAAATTACGATTTTTCAAATATATATTATAAATAAATATGGTAGTACCTATCCAACTGAAAAAAAACAAAATACAAATTTGATAGATACTACCTTGAAGCAGTAGATATCATTTATCGACTATATGGTAGTTAGACCTAGATGGCATTATGAAGCTAGATAAGTAATAGAGAAAATTATTGTGAGATATTAAATTTCAAATAGATTATCTCCATTTTTAATTATATATAAATGACTAGACAGTTCATTTAAATTATGCAGGGGCGTCGCTAGCCTTTACAATCTCAGGGGGCTCAACTAAAAAATTTTTATCCCAATTTGCGGGCCTTCGGCCGGGTTTTATATTAATACATTGAACTTTTTTAAAATTTGCTAACTCTAAACAATTATTCTGAAATTCATATTTTGTCATTTATTATATTTTGCATACAAAATAAAGTAGCATATAAATAATTAATAATATCTAAAAATAATATTTTTATAATACAAAATCTATTTATTACAGTAGACACTGTTTTATAAAATGGACTAATAAGAAGAAATTTATAGGCTTTACCAATTCAACAATTCTTGAAGAAGAGAATATAAACGACCAATCCAAATCATAAAATAATATGGGAGTTAGAGCTTCCTCTTACATGATGTAAGGTGGATAAATAATCGAGAAAATTATTGTGAGATATTAAATTTATAAAAGATTATCTTCCATTTTTTATGATACATAAACTACTACACAGTTGACCATTATTGATTATCTAAAATATGCAATCATATGTTCTCAGCAGCTGTAGTAATAATCTTAAATTACATAGCCACACAAATAATAGATGCTGGTTAATTTACAGTCATCGCCATGTCACCCATGATGGTAACCCATATCAGAATTTATTATGTTTAGATAAATTGATGAAACAAATATGCAAATATATTGGGCTTGAGTTATTTACACGGCAAGGGTGACATATTAAAAATGAAACATTTTGTGATTATAAAATGAGAATTAGAGTGATAACATGAAAGCAATTAAAATTTTGTATATTATTGTCGCACCATCTCTAGTTGGTATATTATATCTTAAAATAATAGTCGTTTGTAATAATATCTAAAATATATTCGTATTAAAAATTTAACTTAAAACTGTTTTTCAAAGAAGAATAAAATAACTTTTCTAAAAACACATAAAAAAAGAGAAGAAAAGATATCTAATTTATTACATCCATTGTGGGATGAATAATAAAATATTTAATAATATTAATATTGTAAATAAATAGATGGCGTTAAATAATTGAATGCAAATTGTTACTTATATTTATTATCAAAAGCATTTATTAGTAAAGTTTTAAAAATATCAACTGTAATATATTATATAACTGACAAATACGTTTGCAAAAGTGGCATTTTACCTAATATTTTATAAATAATTATATATAATAGAGGATTATAAAATATATATCTACTTACGTTTTATAAATAAATCTCTTATACTTATTTGGATTTGGACCTTGAAAATAATTTTAGAAAGAGACATGATAATTAAATTTAAAAATCAATAATATAGTTGATTAGTGATGTTAAACTCGGCTAATTACAATACTAAATTTGTTACTTCGGGTTATATAATAATTTAAATAATAAAAGTCAATTAAGCTTCTACTGTTAATGCCAAATTAATATTTAGTGAGTGATATTGATATTCTATTTTTAACACAGAATTTGATCGCAAGTTGGCATAGTGAAAATATAATTTAAATGTATTAATCTAATCTAATAATTAAAATAGTATTCATTTAATAAAAATTTAGATAGCCTTATTAATTTTTAAATAATAAAATAAATCTATATATTACTCAATAGAATTATAAAAGAAATCGTTCAGGGAGCAATTTAAAAAATTTATTTTTAGTTCGAGGGGGTATTAAGGAGTCATTAAAAAAAATTCCTTCAGGGGGCTCGAGCCCCTGCGCGCGCCCCCCCTAGCGACGCCACTGAAATTATGAAATATTATGCTCTCAGCATAATAATCTTAAATTACATTGCCATACAAATAATAGATGTTGGTTAATTTGCAGATATAGCCATGACACTAACGATGTAATTATTGTTATAAATGAGATTTATATTATATATTATCAATGTTATAAATGTCATATATATATTATCAATGCTATAAATGTCATAGATACAAATCAATCATATATTAATATATTTCATGAGGTGATTGCCAGTCAAATAAACTTAATTAGTATATTGGCGACGTTGTCGATGATTTATTATGAACAAAGAAGACAAAAATAAAGTAATTATGAATAAATAAGAAAAAAATTATAACATTATGATCAAATCGATAATTTCGATAATCAAAACAACTTTGCTGATTAAATTGAATATATTGATGATATGTTGGAGATAAGAGGTATATTAATAAATAATGAAACCAAAAAAAAATATTATTTGCGTATATGGGTATTAGTAATTTAGCAGAGATGAGGTCCTTTGTTTATCCAAAAATATTGAAAGATCTTAATTATGAAGAGATTATTGAAGTTGGTAAGAAAGTTTTTAAGCCTATTTCAACATTATTTAGCTCGAGAATTAAATTTATTCGGATAGAAAGAGGGGTTGGTGAATCAGTTGCGGAGTTTGCAGCTCGACTTAAAAAATTGGCTCAAGAATGTAAATTTGAATCTGACCTAGATAGGAGATTGAGGGGTCAGATGGTGGCTGGAATCAAAATGAGTGCATTGGAGAAAGATATTCGCACTAGATTTCCAGATGGAATAAATGACTTAGGAGAAATGGTGAGTTTTCAACAGGTTTTAAATATGGCTTTGGCAATAGAAAGGGCTGAGGATGAAGTGACAAATATGATGGTAAAAAAAGTCAATAAACCTA